TTTCAGGAGATTTTGGAAGAATTTAACAGCAATAAATTATTTTGAGAGCAAAAGCTTGTAAAGAAAATGCGTTTCACAGCAAAGGTTATTATCCTCTTCAGCAGGCATGATGAAGTGTTTTTTGGAAAGGAGTATACCTTTGTACTTGAGTGTTGTTTTTGAAGAAAAAGACTTAAAAGCAAGAGTAGAATATTTTCCTGTCTCTATAACAGGTTAAATCCTTCATTATCAGTTTTGACTGAAGCAATGACTGTTTTTTGAATGGTTAGATGAATCCTTGATTTGTGCTTATTTAAGCAAAAGATCTTCATAAACCATATTCTGTTGAGTGTGTGTGTATGGTGTGTGAAAGAGATGGCAGTTTTCAGAATGCAATTTCCAAGCATCAGATTTGGTATAGAACGTGGGCAGAGCAGCTGAGATCCCCGTGAAGCTGTTAGTTGCCATTTACTAATAGATAAATTAATAAATTAAGTTAAATTTCTGAAAGTTTAAATGAATCATAGTTGTGTGATTTAGTTCCTTGTGTGAGAGTTTGTGAGGATATACTTATATGGACTTGTGAACAAGCTTGTAGTAAAACATGCCTTACAGAAAGAATATCTTTCCATGTGTATTTGAAGGCTTTTTGTAAGAATCAGAACAAGGAATATAATTCTTTATAAATTCCAGCGGGTTATCAACTCCCCTCCCCACATACATGCTGCATCAAAGATACTCTTTACTGAAATCCAGCATTTTGATTAATTTTTTTGAAAATTATTCTATCATCTCATGGGTTTTATTCTATTACTGTCAGTTGAGTGTGATTATGAAAGAATGATATTACCCTCAAGTTTTGGGTATCTTATATATCATCAGTCGTGATCTGGAACACAGAGGGCTGAGGTTGTGCTATGGGTTAGGAACCTGAACAGGAAACATGTTTTTTCATAACATCAAAGATAGTGTAAAAACCCCACAATGCTTCCCAACAAAGTGCTACCATTGTCCTACTGGAACCTTTGACAAAAGAGGGCTCTGATTATATTTTCACTGACATGGTGTTAAGGTTTTTCTCTTAAATCCCCATTTCCCTGGATGCTTGCAATCATAAAAGAATCTCAGCTTTCATCTTTAAAGAAAATAAAACAGATTTTAGGGAAAAAAATTTAGTCTAGCTTCATGTAACAACAGTGCTTGTGGAAGAGCTAGCAAATATGAAGTATCTGTATCTGTCAATTTATCATATATAACACCAAGGGGCCAGAGACAAGAAACAATGCAATCAATGCATGAGCAAAAGATATTTAGAAAGCATGAGTTATAGTCTAAATATATCAGAATGAGAGATAATACCTAAGGCTTGACAGATCTGTAGCACTATGAGGGCAAACAAATTATATTCACCCTCTACTCTAAGCACAAGAAAATGTTCCTAACTTCTTGAGATCTAGTGATGTATCAGAGGGGAAAAATTCATCACCTGATCATCTTCTCCATCTGTGGTGTGCCCATGTAGTTACATTTCTAGCAATTCAGAGAACCCCACCTCTCATAACATCCAAACAAAGGTATAGAGAGATAAGCAGTAGCACCTGTCCATCTCATCACCAGCAGATTGCCTCAGAAGCTGGTCTGTGCAGGGAGAAGCGGGAACCTATAATGGTCACTGAGTAGTTGTGTGAATCAGCAGATGAACGGATACATATAAGGTTTTCATTATACAAACTTGTGCAAATAATGTTGAACATTATTTTGGGGTCACATCCTTTTCAAACTATGGCTTTAGTGTTGAATACTAGAGTACTTGGACCTATTTATGGTATTACTAACCACAAGTAGAAGCAAACCTGCTACTCCCTCCCTGCTTCTGCTGCAATAAGACTGATTTCCTTTAAGCAGATCAGCTGTGTTTAGAAGTTAAACTTTTTTGCTGAGAACATTCGATACAACCTCCTTTGAGGAAGTTTTTGTGGTTGTTTGTACTGCTTGAGACAGTATGCCTGTAAGCAGCACTGCTCTCAAGTACCTTAATAGCATGCTCAGGCGCTCTGTTGATAACTTCATTTCAGCCACTTCACTTCCTTTGGCCACATCCTAAGCACAAAATTTAACAGGAGAAGCATATTACCCATGCAGTGTGAAGACAGTTTACTTGGTCCCAAAGTTTTGTACATTTGAAAACATTCCTTCAACCTTCTAGATAAAATTTAATTCAGATCTCGAGTAAATGAATCTTAAAAAGGGTTATTTCCCTAAAGATTATTAAAAAGGGTTATTTCCCTAAAGAAAGCATGTGCCCTGTATTACTGAAAGGATTATTATAAATAATTATTCCACTGGAGAATTTCTGCTTTTTACTTGACCATTTCATAACTCTTTCTTCAATATCACAGTAGTTCAAAATTAGGTATGATAAAGCAGAAACTTTAGATGAAGTCTTCTGCTTATAAAGCAGAAAATACTGAGATGAAACACTATTGTCTCGCTTTAAAAATTAATGTCTGCAATATTACACAAGCACATTTTATAAAAGTGAACCTCTGACAGGTGTTGCCTTCCCTGAGGAGTCATCACGGTGATATGGAAATAATGAACTAAACAGCAGTGATTAAAGAGACATTTTGATAAGACTAACCATTCCAGAGAAATAATGTCATATATAGAAAAATCCAAGTTATATAAAGCTGAATATAAGAAAGATGGTATTAAAGTAACACTGAGTTACACTGGCTAAAAAGGCAATTTTATGTAAGAAAGCAAGAGCAATAAAGCTGAATATTCTGAAAAGACAGAAGTTTAACAAAAATAAAGACTCTGAGTACTTGTTTAAGAAGAAAGCTAGTATTTTCACAGCAGTGGAGTTAGATTTTCTTGTGATATCCTTTTCTATCCTGACTTTTATAAATACTTTGGGACAAGAACTAAAAATTTATATCTCAAAAATATTTTGAAAAACTGGCATTTTCTAGCAGATCTCCTGCTAAAAATACTCCTAACTGACTCCTGCCATAAGGCACAACCACAATAAAGTATATTTAAATAACAATCAACAAAATGCTGTGATGAGGTACGTTAGATATCACAATTTGCCATACTTATTCAATTGTATTATTTATTTACCGTTTTTCAAATTTATCTATTACATACACAACCAATGAGTGTGATTTAATCAAAATATGTGGTAATTTTCTCTCAGTAAGTCAACCTCCCCAAGAAATCTCACTGCATCATGCAAATAACCTTTGGATATCAATTAGATAAGAATGATATATTCCAAATATCTGTTTATGAGCTCATGGTAGCAAAATTCTTTTGCAACCTTCTAGCACTGTGATGCCTATTTCCCTTAAACTTTTTATCATGCTATAGTAAAATAAGATTTTAATAAACTGGTTACATTCATTAATACTCTCAGAAAAAGATCGCAGAATCACAGAATCGACTATGTTTGAAAAGACCTCTGAGACCATCGAGTCTATGACCAAACACCACCTTGTCAACTAGATCATGGCACTAAGTGCCACATCCAGTCTTTCCTTAAACACCTCTAGGAATGATCTATCAGTCTTAGGTAGTTATTGTTATACACAATAAGTATGAGTGCACTTTTTTATACAGTTGCTACACTAGCTATAGTACAGTATAGTTAGTACACTTGTTACTATAGTATAGTTGTACTATAACTTCCATATTATTTGTCTTCTCTGAAAAACTAAGAATTAAGAGCAGATTTACTTTCATGTAACACTGCCAAGCATAATAGCAGTACTAAGTGGCCTCTGTCCTCAAAGGAAGGCAAAATAGAATAGCTTTGTATTTTTCACACATAACCTGATGATCTGCAATGATGTTTTCTTTTGCTTTAAGATTTTTAATAAAATTATTTTGCTCTACTAATGCTTACAGCATATTTCCATGAGAATCTGCATGACGGTCATATTTCTCAAAAAGTAGATTTCTAGGGTGCTTGTAAAAAGTATCTAAGAAGATAGTAAATGTCTCTGTTCCAAAACATTTATTCAGTCTTAAAGTTCTCAGGAAAATCTGGCAGAATAGGTAAGGCTTGAGTCTCCCAGAGATGCAACTTGGACTTCATTGCATCAGAAGTGAGAAGAAGAGTTTTTCTGCAGAGAAGTTTCCCTTGATAGCCATCCTTCCTTCAACTCACATGACTGTTCCAGGGGAACCAGTGATAAGCCTAGACTGCAAAATATTAGCAAGATCTCTTGTCTGTTTGAGCAAGTTTTGAGCTGGCTTCCTACCAAATCTCCAAAGCTCACCGAAAGCCTTTTCCCTCCCTCCCCCTTTAGGCAAAGGAAAAAAAACTATAGAAACTGAGAGAAATTGAAACCAACCGAATTATATCAAAATATATATGTATTTTTACATATATTACAGTTATATACAGTAAGAATATTACGTACAACTCCTGAAAAGGGGAAGAGGGGAAGGAAAAATGGGAAAAAGGGACAAAAAGGAACAAAAAGGGAGAAAACAAAACAGATATGAACAATCGAAAAACTCAGAAACTAGCAGAATAAAGAATTAGCAAAAGAATATCTTACAGTTACTCTCCTTGGGACAGCAGAAGTTGCGCTGAATGACCGCCTGCACCCTCCGCCTCCCAAGGTCTAAAGGCCTCACTAGGCTTCACTCCCCTACACAGCAGAACCAATGGCAGGGAACCTGCGCCTTCAGAACCACCGGAAGGGAAGAGAGCGAAGGCCTCCCCTCCCTTCTTCTTTATACCCTGGCTTACATAAAAATCGTCGGGAATACTGGGTATATAGCTACTTCCTTGGTTACAAACTGGTCACCAAGGAAGGCCTAGACTAAAACTACTACACTGTTGCAGGTATCAGTTTAACTCATGATTTGTTCCATTGCCTTTATTTTTCAGAAGACTGAGATGGGTAGGGGTCCCCTCAGCCAAGCTTCTTTGAACTCTAAAGGCTGAAAAAAATTATTTTCCTGTACAGTTCAGCATTCTAAGATACAGAAATGGAAGAGCTCACCCGCCCTAAACATCCTAAGGCATCTGATCTTAGTGATATTACTGGAACTCTTTGGGGGACCCTCTATGACTTTTCCTGTACAATTGCAGGCCTGATGTGATATTCTCAGAGAAATGCTCCTTTACGAGTTCCCTCTCTTGAGATGTGATCGTTAACAAAGTGACATTACATCAGGACATATCCATCTCTGAGTCCTTAGCACTTGTGAGTCTGGATTTCCTCTCATTTTGGCCTATACAATTTCACATGCTGAGTGGTGTGTGCATGTGTTACAGATCACTTTCACTACGCAAGAGGGAGGAGAACTAAATGGGAACCTTTGGTGAAATGGATGTTCCACAGCTTGTAGTGCACCTTCAAAGGCATGCTGCATGACAAATTTAGCAAAATCAGTCATGTCCTTTGCATCCTCTATCAAGCAGTTGCTCAGCTTGCCAAAGGACATCTCGAACTGAAGTCCAGAGAATGGAGCACATAATTGAATCACTACTGACCAGCTGTCACAACAACCGTCTGCTCCCTAAACACTAATGAAAGGAATCAAATGAGATGTCCTGATTCAAACTTTTATTCTGATGACACCCTATTGTTGTGTTCTACCACAGAGCCAAGAACTGAAGAGAAATCATCCTCCTCATTACGTTTTCCGAAAGCTTATTATAAGCACTTGCTGATATCGCTGCAGGAGCTGACTGAAACTTCAGAGATGAAGCAAATATGCTGTTTGAGATAATGCTAATGTATGCAAAACAGAAAAACCTCCCCACCTATAAACCCATAAAAAACTGTCCTAGAAGCCTGAAAAAATCTCTCAATTTTAGCACACCTGACGAATCAGACAGTTGTTATTGATATGAGTGATCATCTCGTTTTTTAGCTGAAATATTTAATTTCAATATTTAATTTTCTTACATTTAATATGAAATTAAATACCAGTCACATCTTAGAACTGCTAGAGAACATAAATAGAATACAGACCTACTGTCAGACCTACCCAGTCATGATCGTCTCTGCATATGAGAGAAGAAATATCCTTTCTAGAGTACCTTGTCACACCTATTTTGTTACCATATAATCCCACAGTCTCTGTAAGGCAACCAGTATAGCTATTATCATAATTACAGAAATAATTTAATACTTTTTCTCAAATGCATTTATGCAACCAAGTAGAAAATATGACAGTATCATTTTAAAACAGGGGACATGAGGTGTAGACGTATTCAGAAAAGCCAGGCTTTCTTGTCTATCTCTGAGAAAGTCTTGCCCTGCTGTGAGAGGCTGTGTGACTTAAGTAGCCCAAGCCTTTGCAAGCTCTGAAACAGGCTTGTATGAATAGTGACTTACGGGGGAGAACTTATGTTCCTTTCAGACTTTGAGATAACTAAAACAAAAGGGGGAAAAGGGGAAGAAATGGAGAATTAAAAATAAAGGGGATTTTGGTCAATTCATATGGTGTCTTCATCAATTGCTACCATATTTGTAAAAGGATTGGTTGACAATGATAACTTAAACACTAATAAAGCTGAATAAACATGAAAAAAATGGCAAATTCTGTGGCTATTGTTTCTGTTTTGGAGAAGGCTATAAATATGAAGTTATATCAAGCTTTGTTCTTAACAAAACAAAGAACTCTTTCATAGCATTCAAGAAAAGTGGATTGACAAATATATATGTCAGAAACACATATACTTTTTATTTACATTTTTCTGAGACAGCATATTCTGAAGCAGATCTGTTGTTGAGTCTTTAGACAATGAAGGTAGATTGTTTTTAATGATTTATGTCAGTTGAATTAAAGATGATTTATCACTGTTTTCTCTAAAGCAACTAACTGTAGAGTAAGGGAAGAATTCTCTTGCTTTGTTTCCTGTCATAGAAAGATGGATTTTTGGTGCTCAGACAACCACAGTGTTTTTGTAACTCCAATCACTTTGATTTTTTTGTGTGGAGTTTTGGAGTGGAATTGAATCTGTTCTTTGTTTCAGAAGAATGTATATGTGATGCAAATTCATCACATATATACATCTATGACATGTAAATGTAGACCAGAGCTATAAATAAACCTGTTTTGTTTTACCTGAATTTTGGCAGACCCAAAAGCCCTATTCAAAATTTGCTGTTAAGTAATATTCTGTTAATGGGAAAATTCTTCCCTCCCCCCTTCCCCCCCAAAAAAAAGGAAATTACAACTGAATTCGTCTTAGAGCATAGAATACAGGCAAAAATGGCTTTGTTCCCCTAGTCTGCAGATTATGCTATTCCACTAAAGTCCCACTGCTTTTTCTTTTTTTAAAGAGGAATGTTGCTTAGTGTTTGAGAAAATAATTGCAACAATCTTTATTTGTGAGGCGAGAATTCAATTTCTGCAGAGGAATTTAAATAGCAAGTGAGGATAGTTATCTCTCTGATATTTGATGAATGGAAAAAAGATTTAGTTATCTTGAGGTGAGATTACTTTTTGGAGAGGATGACATTTATTACCTCAAGGACATATTTCAGAAAATCCCTCTTCTTTATCCAGTGGTGATAGTTCTGTTCATCAGAGAAGAAGGCAATTGGGAAAAGAAAAGATTAATTATATTTTCGTGTGCTTGAGCAGGGGCTGCAATTGGTTTGTTTCTGCAGAGGACACCGGTAGAATAATGAGTAGGTTCTGCAGAGAGGGAACAATTTATCCAGCAAGACTTCTCCCAAATTCTTTTCAATTCTGTGGTAAACTTCCTGTGCTCCTAATCCTCATCTGTTAATTCCTTAATAGACAAACGTCCTGTCTATTGGCTAGTCAGCTTGAGAGTCCCCTCCTCAGGTTCCCAAAAGCCCAGTCATTTCAGAGAGCAGCAGAAATAATGACTGTCTTTGGATTTGTCTCCTGTCCACTGCCTCTTTCCTTACAACCCCAGCCACCTGTTGTGTCCTCCTTCAATCCTTCTCAGCATACCTACACCTTCTCTTGCTATATTTCCTGCCACTGCTGTTATTATTTCTCCTGCTTCCCACCAAGTTGCCTTCCCTGTACAGCTGTACCGTTCGCTGCAGGTCCTGTGCCTGAATCTGTGCTACAGGGGGTCTTGCTGGGTGACGCTCACTGCCTGCCCTGCCTGCAGTGAGATGGAGAGTCACAGATCTCACACCTTTCCTTCCCATTCCTGTTCCCTTCCCTTTCCTTTATGACATTAATTCAGTTCTCTGCCTTCTCTGTTTCTCATCCCCTGAGACTTCTGCCTCAGTCAGATTTATTGAAATTGCCCAAGACAGTAAAAAATCTTTGGAGAAAGCTGACATGTGGATAAATAGTGTTATCACATAAACTTCCTCCTTCATTAGAGAAATAGCCCAAAAATACAGGAAAACCCCCTCTTTCCTAGAGAAATTAATTTCTCCATTTGTATGTAGCATGAAATCAAACTTATATGTTTTCAAGATATGAGTGAATAGAGTGGAGTAGACTATCATTTTAGACTGTCCTTTTAAAAGAGTGTTGTTACCTGTGTACACGATCTTCTGCTGGTTAATAGTGAGCTCTTTGAATTCAGACATTGATTTCATTATACCATGGCAGACAGATCTCAGGGCTTTCTGTCTTCTGACAACTTTTAACTTCCCATGATACCTAAAAAAGATGGAAGGAAATCATGGGCAGCTTTCCAGCCACTCTTCCCCAAGCCTGTAGTGCTGCATAGGGTTGTTATGACCCAAGTCCAGGACCTGTCACTTGGACTTGTTGAATCTCATGCACTTCGCCTTGGCCTGTCAATCTGCTTTGTCCAGATCTCTCTGCAGAGCCCTCCTGTCCTCCAACAGAACAACACTGCCACCCATCTTGGTGTCATCTGCAAACTTAGTGAGGGTACAAAAACTTCTATCGTCAATAAGGATATTAAACAGGACTGGGACCAATACTGAGCCTTGGGGATACCCACTAGTGAGTGTCTGCCAACTGAATGTGGCACTATTCAGCACTAAAACTGTGCTCACGATTTCATATATATATATATATATATATATATTTAATATTCCTTCATGTTAAAAGAACTTAATGTTAATATAGTAAGTTAGAAATATCAAATTTATGCAAGGTAGAGCAAGTGAAGCTGTCAGAACTTCTTTTTAGTTTTTTTCTCTTTTTCTTCTGAGAACAAAGAATAATCCAGGACAAACAAAGGCTACCACATCACAGGTACGGTTTTGATCTTGAATTTATGGAGTTATCTCTCCAGAAGTGGTGAGGACTGCCAGTACCTCAAGTCTGCCAGCTGCTCTAGTCAGGGAAATTTAGCATCTGGGTTTGGGTTTACCAACCATTTCAAACTGACCTTTTTCACTTTAAATTAAGAGGGGAATAAAGAGAGAGAAGAAAGGAAAAATGCTGGCAGTTTAACCTTGTGACTTCTGTGCACAATGTACTATTTCAGATGGCTAGCCTTGATGTATCTCTGGAAAATGCATTTCTTTGCTCCCTTGTGGCAGACCTCCAAAGCCTCGGCACAATCTTTTTGGTTATATAATCCCCTAGATAACTCTAGATACATTAATAGCAAAAGCAGCCTTGAAGGGAAAATACCACTGTGTGTATCAGTGACAGCTCCAACTTCTCCTTCAAAAAAACCCCAATTTTTTTCTGAAATGGCTTTACTAAGATGGATACGAAAAGACAATTTTGGCTTCCATGTCATTCTATATGGAAGTCTATGGGAAGTCCCATTCTACATGGGTCTTTAATGCCTAATGCTTCTGAAGGACTTTCTGGAAGAGCCAAGAATGATTAAAGTCCTTAAAAAAGTCAAGGCTAGAATTATACCTGTTGTGGGAATTTTTGTATGGCTTTTCTAATCCATTGGATTTATTCAGATGTGTCACAACAAAGTAACAAGGATTGTATGAAAATTTTTCATGCTACTTGATCCTCAGCAGGAGTTTTGAACTGTTAAAGTCCAAGTTTTCTGTGCCTTGCAGAAGAAGCCTGTATAAAGTTTAGGACTCCTGTATGGTCTTTCACACAATGCTTAAATATGCTTATATCTTTAGCAAGTCCCTTGACAAATCTTTTTTCACCTTCCTGTGAAGGGAAGACTGGGGAATGAAGTATGGATATGTTGTTATGTATGAGATCCAGACAGATTATTTTGGGAGACTTGATGGAGTTTAGCAGATGCATCTGGAGAGAGACCTGCTTGTAGCCTTTAAGAGGATACTTGAAACTGTTTATCAGAGAGTCACAGAATATCCTGAGTTGTAAGGGATCCACCAAAGTCCAGCTCCTGGCCCTGCATGGGACAACCCCAAGAATCACACTATGTGCCTGTGAGCATTGCCCAAATGCTTCTTGAACTCAGTCAGGTTTGGTGCTGTAACCACTTCCTTGGGGAGCCTGTTCCAGTGCCCAGCAACCCTCTGGGTGAAGAACCGTTTTCCTAATATCCAAACTAATCTTCCCCTGATACAGCTTCATGCCATTCCCTTGGTTCTTATCACTGATCACAAGAGAGAAGAGATCAGAGCCTGCTCCTCCGCTTCCCCTCATGACGAATTCGTAGACTGCAATGAGATCTCCCCTCAGTCTCCTCTTCTTGAGTCTGAACAAGGCAAGTGACCTCAGCCTTCAGTTTATTTTGCAGCTATTTACAGATATTATAACTATTTTATCCATGTTTTCTAAGTCCTTGGATACAAAAAT